TTGGTACTGAGATTTTATTTATTTTTTCTCTCTCTCTCTCTCTCTCTCTCATTGTGTTTATTGGTACATTTTAGGTATTCAGTACAGTTACATTCATTATTGGGATCTTGTACCTCTACCTGACAGGTCTTGGTTCTCATCTTTTCCCCTTGTCCCCGCCCTCCCTTCACCCCTCCTCCCCTCCCCTTACAAACACTTCATTTCCATTTTCTCATTTTCTTATATTTTTTGCTTTTCCCTTATTACCTTTCCCCTACCTTCCCACCTTCCCTAGGTACTGAGATTTTAAATGAAGCCTACAGGCTGGGATTTAGCTCAGGGGCACTGCCGATGCCTCATAAACACAAGGTCCTCAGTTTGATCACAGTACAAAAAAAAAAAAGGAGCCTAATAGTTACTTTATAAAATTGGTGAAAATGCTTAAAGATCTTGCTAATTTCAGTTAGGATCAATTGGCAAACACAAAATTAATGTTTCTGTCCTGCGGTTAGTTGCAGAGAAATTGGTATGGAGGGACTCAGAAGACTTTTACCTGACACACTGGCTCAACCCTCAGGTTTTCCTGGTTGGTGTACATTTGCCCACATGGAGAATTATTTCATTTCCATCAGTTTCTTTATGATACCAATCTCCCAATATTGTCAGAATTAAATAAAATGACATTTACATATTTTATAAGCTGTAAATATCTATGTGAATGCAGATGCAATTATTAATGGCATAAGAGGAGGCACTGAAAAGGGTTATTTCTTAGGAGGAGCTCTCTAACATTCAAAGTGCTGTATACTATTTCTTATAATGAAGGAATTAGAGTTAGACTCTCCTTGGTTAGATCTTGGTGTTTTTCTTTACAGGTGAGTGACACGGCCTCAAATGATTTAACTTTCCAGCTTTAGTTTCCTCTTCAGTAATATGGTAGACAATGAAATGTGCTCCTATAAAATGCTATGGAACTAGTAAATTATTATTCTACCGGTCACACAGTTACTGCAGGAAAAAGGGGAAAGCAAATTGTTGTTCTAACTTGTAAATCCTTTTTTCTTCCTCTTTAAGAGATTTTTATTTTTCAGATTAAGGTGGCAGACTGACCATTTCCCATTTCCTTTTCCCATTTTTCCCAAAACACATTAAATTGTAGTAAGGCAGTGAAAAAAGGTGAAGGCCAACAACAATGACATAGTGAATTCTAGACACAATATCGACTGAAGAGAGCTTGACTGACTGAATTTCTAAATGACAGTCAAGAGATGGAAGGAAACCAGAAAGGAAGAGAGCACCACCCATGGGAAGACAAGCCAGTGTTAGTTTCAAATTCCCAGAGAGAACTGGAACTCGCAACACTAAGAAAAATGCTAGGATTGAGCAGAAGCAGGGTAGTAAAATGCAAGTCTAGCTGGAGAAGGGGGTGGGAATTATTAAGGACGCCCACCTGGCCTCCTGCAGTTTGCATTCCAGTATTGGAGACCACCGGCTGAGGAAAGGCCAGCCTCTTTCCGACCTTACAGTGACTCCTGCAGGAGAAGAGCTGTGACCTGTGCCCAGAGCTCTGGCCTGGCGCAGTCTCAGAGCGCGAGACTTTTGAATCTGAAAGGATGATTCACAACCACGGCAAAGACTGGCGTCTTTTATATATTTATGAAAGTATAAGTGATCCCTAGTTAGGGGCTAAAAGCTTAATAAGAAATGTATTTATATAGTGTCAAGGTAGGGATGTGCAAATCAATTATCAAATAAAAAAAAGATAATGGCAAATTTATAGTAAAGACAACTGAGGAACCCTTCTCTCAAGTGATGAAAGTTAAGATCAACAAAACTTGCATAAATCAATACAACATACCTTTTCTCCTGATGTGCTGCTCTGAGGAGGATACAGCTTCGCTTCTATGGTATTTTTACCAAAAAAAGGACTGCATGAATTTAGCCATGAGAGAAGGGAGGCAAACCCCAAATCAAGGGACATTCTGCAAAATAATTGGCTGGCGTTCTTGAAATTGAATGAGGTCAAAAAAGATAAAGGTTAAAAATTTGAGAGATGCAGATGAAAACAACACTGAAATTCCACCTCACCCCACAAAGAATGGCTGCTATCAAGAAATCACACAATAACAAATGTTGGCGGGGTTGTGGGGAGAAAGGAACCCTTCTCCATTGTTGGTGGGAGTGCAGACTAGTGCAACCACTATGGAAATCAATATGGAGATGCCTCAAAGAGCTTGGACTGGAGGTTCCATTTGACCCAGCCATCCCTCTGCTGGGTATCTTTCCAAAAGAATTAAAAGAATCATATCACAGTGATATATTCGCACCTATGTTTACAGCGGCACAGTTTGTAATAGCTAAAACTTGAAAAGAGCCCATTTTCCCATCCGTTGGAAACTGGATAAAGAAGATGTGGTTTTTCTATAAAATGGAATACTACTCAGCCATAAAGAATGAGAAATTAGATTCATTCATAGGAAAATGGATACATATTGAGGATATACTCCTAAGTGAAATAAATAAGTCACACATGTGTAAATACCAAATAGTTTCTCTGGTGTGAAAAACTATAATGGTATATATGATCCTAATGATATAATTGATAATGTGAAATAGGAAGAAAAGGGCTAAAGGTGTAGGGAAAGTTGGGAAAGTATGGGAAAGGTAACAAGGGAAAAGAAAAAAATATGACAAAATTAAAAAATGGAAATAAAGTGTTTGTAAATGAGGAGGGGAGGAGGGGGTGAAGGGAGGGCAGGGACAAGGGGAAAAAATGAGAACCAAGACCTGTCATGTAAAGGTACAAGATCCCAATGATGAATGTAATGTAACTATACTGTATCCCTAAAATGTACCAATTAACTCAATCCAAAACAATAGAGTGAAGAGGGCTGCCACCTGCCTTGCAAGCACAAGGACCCGAGTTCAATCCCTGGTACCCACCTTAAAAAAAATGGATGGAAGAACACTAGTGAAATACTCATTACACTGTACTGGGTCCAGAACTGAGCAAAAGTAGCTATCGCTGGCCCTTGACTAAATCAGAGTGCACTGTGAATTATGCAATAGTACGATGTTACTATTAAGTATTAATTTTCCTAATGTTTATGATTATATTGCGCTTGTTCATGGAGTAGATAAAATGATGCCCCACTTCACTGATATATAAATCATATATCTATATATATTTATGAATTTATATAAGTGGGACAGAATATAAACATTTTGTAAACCTGGGCATGCAAGAATTTTTATGTACTTTTATATATAAAGATATATATTATGGTATTTCTATACCAACATGTATATGTACATGAAAGTGCATATATGACAAAATATAAACATTTACTATATCTTGGCATGCAGGACTTTTTTGCACTATTATGATAACTTCTGTAAGTTTCAAAGGCTCAAAATTTTTTAAAAATCAACTGATACAATACAAAACAATCATGGCTTTAGAAAATTAATGCTAGCAGTGAAGATAAAGTCTAGAAAATTGAGGTTGGTAGAGATCCTTAATTACCCATTCAGTACTCAACACCCCTGGAATGTATGCACGTTAAAGTGACAACACATTCATCTTCAGATAGCTCTGATCTTTTTTCTTGTTTTACAAACACATGTCTTCATATCGCCCTTGCTTCTTCTTGTGATTATATTTATTTAACCAAACATCTAGATTGAAAGCTGAAACTCTGTGTGTGGCGGGGGGGGGGGGGGGTCTGATCATAAAGTATCTCCCACTTTGAATTCTAGGAAGTAAGTGAATAAGAAATATCTATCTTTGGGTGATCATTTATAGCCCATTAATTGGTTATAAAACAGGAGAATATTAAATCCCTTTAAATATTAAGTAAAATTCATTTACCCTTGAGAGCAAGAACTGTGTTTTATTTATCTTTCATTCCCAAATCTTAGGACAGTGTTTGCTGATAGGTATCTGTTGAATGAATAAATCTCTTCTTGATAAAGGTCAGTTTCTAGGACCAGCTTATACATCCTAAGGTGTTTTCATCACTTCAAAATTCTTAACATGGTGGCTAGAGCCCCATAATTTTTGGTGCATTAAGAAATGAAATTTACAATGAACTACACAGCATTTTGCACCCATAAAGCCAAGATTTAACAAGTCAAGTCATTGAACAATTAATTGAGTACCTTTGTAGAGGCAAGAGTGCGATAAATACTTGACACATGAATGAATGGGCTTTAATTCAAAACATAAAGTATTTTGCTTCTATAAAGAGAAATTTTGCTGTAAGCAAAACAGGGACCACTTTTTAAGTACAGACCACAGATCATTTCAAGTGCTTTTGAGGGCAACTACCATTCCAAAGAATAAGTGCTCCATCCTTTATCACTAGATATATAGATATACATAATCAGAGGGTGGGATAATAAAAACCATCTATTGAAAAGGGGAGAAAATACTGTGTAATGTTAGAGTTGGCTTTCCTTTATTGAGCAAATCTTAGAAATTTCTCAAGATACAATTTCATGACTAAGCTCATTTAGTTATAATTTTTCCAAGAATCTCTGGGGCTCAATGGCCAGAGTTGAGATTAAAAACAGAAGAAAAATAAAAACAGAAACAAGGCCAAATGAATCAAAATGGAATCATGTTACTAATAAAAGGAGAGAAGAAATTTGTTCTTAGCATTCAACAACTAATAAATATTCCCATTCATAATCAGCATAGAGATAAAGCAACAACTATAGTATATTTGGAATAAATTCGGGACACAGCTAAAGAATGTAATCTCAATATGGAAAGAAATATTGGGTAGGCATCACTCTAAGCTGGTTGAACAGTCTGAAATCAAAATAAAATTTTGTTAAAATGAACCATTATAGGTTAAAAAAAGATTGATGAATACAAGAGCATAGAAACACTATAAAATAAATGGCCAGGACAAACATGTACATGCTTAATAAAACAGATTTATTAGGAGACTAAAAGTAAAGCCACTCCTTACCCACACCCAATTGGAAATACACTGATGCTGATGTAGAAGTTAATAATACATGAATAGAGCAATCCTGGGAGGCAAACTATCTGCTAAACTTAAGTATGCCTAAAAAGTATGTCTTGCTTTCTTAGGCTGTAAGTGAGAATCAGCTTGATATCTGAGTCCTGGGCAGCTTGTTCAGTATCACGGAGGAGCAAGACTTGAGTAAGCAGCAGTCAGTATCTCTCATCTGAGGCAGAAAGGCTGTGAGTGCTCTTCAGGTCGTCCTTATGCAGAGAACCAATGGAGAGCCCTGTCATCACCAGAGCCATCGGTCCATCAGTAGGTGCTGTAGCCAAAGCCAGAGCCAGAGCCCCAAGGCCTGTAAAAGCTGCTACCATAGCAACAACCATTGCAACCATTTAAGCAGAAGTTACGGGAGCTATAGGCCTGCGGCAGGGGAGTGCCCAGGGGCACAACGCAGTTCAGCGGGGTGGCTCTGTAGGTCCCGTGGAAATTGGTTCCATAGCAAGGATAGCCTGGGAAGTAGCTTCCACAGCAGAAATAACGTGTCATGGTTGCAGGAGTTGAGAAGGAAGGAGTTGGATAGACTGTGAAGGACAAGATACCCAAGCGTGAATGAAGGTCTCCTCCTTTGCATGGCTTTTTATACCTTAAGCTGGTGGGCAGGGCATACCTGTCTCTGCATCTTCCTAAAGATGTGTGTAAACAATCCTATTATTTCTAGCAAAATGCATATTAAAAAAGCCACAGAGTCCTTGTCCATGTTTTTGTTGGCTTTTCTATCTGCCAAGGAATGCACACCATCTTCAAAGCAACCATCCTCGACATGAAACTGAATTCTTTTCATCGGTGTCCCGTAGTTTACTACATTCTGATGGCATTATGTGAGACTCTTTCTGTACTGTGATTATAAACCCCTCCCAACTGACATAGTCAGGACATAGCCAGGATAACAGCCTTGGTGAGCCTGTAAGCACCTCAACTCAAAACAAGGCCATACGCGAAGGTCTCCTGAGATTTGGATAACAGCATTTGAAACCATAGAAGGAAACTCTACAATCTCTTGAAATTCACTTTGTATATTACTAGTAAACACTGGTATATCAGGGGTATGGTTTATGGGTACAGAGATTTCTGTGGATGAAGATATTAAATTGAAGCTACGCAGAGGCTGGGGCTGTAGAACATCATGAATTTACTGAATACCACTGTACACTTCACTTTATCTTTAAGGAAAACTTGTTTTAGTTTACTTTGTTAATAGTCACATGTAGTACATACTGTTTATATTTCTTATGGGAAGTTGGTACGTATACATAACACATGTGATTAATATTTTTGTTGTTGTTGTTGTTGTTTTGTTTCTTGAGACAGGGTCTCATTTATGTAGTAAGACTGACCTGGAACTCACTGTGTAGCCCTGGCTGGTCTCAAACAGTGATCCTCCTGCTTCAGCCTCCTGAGTGCTGGGATTACAGGTGTGCTCCACCAGGCCTACCAACTAATTTATTTTTTTATCCCCTTTCCCTTGCCTCCCTTTCCCCACCACCCATCCCTTGATCTCCTTCCTTTTCTTTTTTCTTAGTACATATTGTTTACATATCTTATGTGGAGTCAGTACATGTGCATAACATTTCAAATGGCTTCTACTGTGTGTTACAAATTCATTTTTAATTTTCAAAAGCACTGCTACAAAAATCCACTTGAGCAAGTATTTTTAAACATAATCATAAAGTGGGTATGGACAATTTACTAGAAATTTTCTTATATTTCACTTATGAGCATCTTCCTTGTTAATATATTTCATTTTTTTGTAGATAACACACAGCCTTTTGTAGCAAATCATCTCAGACATTGCCAGACTGTCTTGTTGTGGGGTTGCCATGCCATGGTTAAAATGGAATGAAGCTCAATTTCAAAGTCATATCATACGACGCTAGGTTCTTACTGACTCCCCATAAAACGAGCCCGAATGCCAAAATCCATGGTGAAATATGAGTTAGAGTTAAGAACACTGGCTTCTCTGTATTCCTGTTTGGTTTGTGTGACCACTGCTGATGACAAAATCAAACCAGGCAGAATTCGAGCTCAACAACACCAAATCAGCCCTGGTGTTTAAGAGACAATCTCTTTCATCTGCAAGTATGAGTCTGGAGTCCCTGAAAGTAAGAGAACAAAAGTTCCTGGATACAAGTTGCTTCTGTTTATCCTCCCCCGGTGGACAATCACGGGATCCAGTAAGCAATACTATTCCTATCAAACAACTGTCTATTTATTAAGACTCTGCCTCTCACGAGTTCTCGGACAAAAAGAGTCGCCTGCTGGACGTTTGGCAAATAGACTTGGCTTCTTCCACTCTATAAATTGCTTAGATGTTGTGAGAGTTTATAATTAAAATCAAAAGACGAGGCCCATTTTCAAATTAAATGTTTAAGTACACAAAACATTAAAGTGCAGGCAGGGTGGCCTCAAGCGTGTGATTTACATAGACTCTCCTTCAAATATACTCAAAAGTATGTTTGCGAGTAGAAGAGGACAGTAAGGACTACAGAGTAAATGTGGCCGTTGAAAATTTTAACCTCTGATTCTACCACGCTCCAGTGGAACTTGCAATTTGGATACAATGCCGCATGGTGGCGGTAGGATTTAGGATACTCAGTGAGCTGCAGGACTAGACTTGGGTCCTTAAATGTAAGCAGGCAGAAGTCAACTAAAAAATCAGGTTAGAAATTTTAGACTTCCAGGAGCTCCTCTCTCCCACCACCATCATGAGATTCTAGAAATCTGTTTTTAAGGCACGTCTCAGATAATTCTCATGAATAAACCATCCTGATAAATCCCAGGGCCAATTTTTCATGAGATTTCAAAGAAACTCTCTTTGCTGGGCTGTGTGAAATTGCCCTGAGCCACTTATCTCTCCTTGGCAGCACTGCTCAGCGTCAGTCACAGGCGGGCTATTTCCTTTTACTCTGAGTGATGGAGATAAATAAAGAAAATGCCTTAGTTTGTCTTTGCCATTCACCTATGTTCTCTGCTTCTTGTCGGATTAGAAAGAAAAAGTAACTGCTAAGTATGCAGCCATCTTCCCGGAAGTAAAATCCATCTGACTGGCTTCTGGTTTTGTTACCCTAAGTCAAAAGACCAAAATAAATTTTCTCCTTTGCTTGGTTTTTACCCCCATCTATTAGACTTTCCCAGGGAAAAGTCTCATAACTATTTGTTATTTGATAATTTTTATTTTAAATACTAGTAATAATAATAATAATAATAAATATTTGTGGATGGTTTATTCTGGTACATTCTTTTCTACTCTTTACATATACTATCTATTTCTGTGTTTTACCTGTGCATGTGGTAAGGGTACTTACTATGCATGCTTCCAAGCACTGGACAAATGTGAATTTATTTAGTTTTTATAATAACCTTATGATGTAATTATGATCTTTTATAAGAAAATTGGTCCCAAAGCATTTTAGCAAACTGCCCAGAGTCATAGACAGTAGGCAGCAGAATCTGGTTCTAAACCCATGGTTTTTCACTCCACACCCATGTTCTTAGCTACTCTATTATACTGTTGTGTGTACTTTTAAAAGTGTCAACTTATCAAGTGTCTCAGATACACAATTCACTGCTTTTGTTTCTTAAAGAACATATCAGTCAGGAAAGGCTAGTTGGCACTTCTGGAACAAACAATGCAAAACCTCTATGCTTTGAGAGATCAGAGCTGTATTTCATGCTTACACCAGCATCTTTCTCAAGATCACATAATTCTCATTCAGAGGCTTAAAGTGATAGAACTTTCATTTCTCTGAAATATAACTGACAGTGGAAGAGAATGTGGCAAATCTCACACACACACACACACACAAACACTCCCAAAGACTTTCACCAAATATCATGTATTACTTCCATTCATTTTTTTCATTTCCTAAAGCAAGTTATATATCTATATCTCAGCTCCTAGGTGAAGAATCGCAACACCACTATGTACCTGAATGGAAACTTTCATAGTGCTGCAGGGCATTAATGACTTCCGTGGTTTATATTCTTTGCACAAAGTAAAATAATTTAACGTATCTTAAAAGAAGACAATAAGATGACTGGGTAGAGGAGTATAGTATCAGCACCCAAAATACTCACAAATGGACCAAAACAGTAAGTAATCAACTATATTCTGGCTGCACTGCCTTGGGTAGAGTGACAGAGTGTAGTATAGAGTGGTGAAGATGCTCTAGACCATGCAGATTTGGGATCGCTACCTAGAGAGGGGAACAGATTTCCCCAACTCTGACACTCCCATCTCCACAGTACAGCTCAGAACCAAGAAGGAATTCTCCTGGAGAGAAAAAGATAAGCCAAAGCCACTCAGCAGACTCTATTAAAAAACATGGACAAGAGCCAGGGATTTAGCTCAGTGGTTCCAGTGACTGACTCACAAGCACAAGGACCCAAGTTTGATCCCTGGTACCAAAAAAAAAAAAGGACAGTTGCAAAGTTTGTACCAGAGAATTCTGCAGTCCTTCCAAACCATGAACCCAAGCTAGGAAGCTGCTTAGTGTACTGTAAGGAAAGTTAAAACTTTAAGTTGGAAAGGCTTGGGTTAAGGCTTTCGGCTCTCTAAGGCACATAATCACTAGTTCACCTCTTCTTTCCCTGGATACCCGGCCAGTTCCCTGGAAAAAAGCAGGAAGGACTTTGTTAAAGAGACCAGATGTTCTTAAGATCAAGATAAGGAATGTGATGCATTCCGCCCCTCCCGGACCCCTGGCCAGGGCCTGGTTGGGACGTGACTGCAAGCACATTCACCTTTTTCCGCGCCAAAAGTACAGGTAGTTTTACTACCTATGTCTGGAGAGCTATATAAACAGCCCGCCTAGCCCAGGCTGCTGCTGCTGTCTTACGCCCGGGATTGAGACCTGTAGCCGAAGGGATTGCTGAAGAGACCCGTGCTGTGTTGCGAGTGATGAACCTAATTCCTCCAACATTCCGGTGTTGTTGCCAGAGAGCCTAAGGGTAATTTCCCGGATAGAGTCCCTCTTGCTGTTAGAGGACTCTCTTTCTTTGTCCTCTCCATTCTTACTTTTGTGTTCTGTGTGCACATATCCTTCAATAAACTTTCCCTTTTGTACTTATTTAAGGCTGGTGGACGTTCTTTTAGCGGATCGAGCCAAATTAATTAGGAGACCGTGCACGGCAAAGGGCAATAAATAAAATTTGTCCTTACATGTACACAGCATTGGATTATTCCAATGAAGCCCAAAAGGAGCCACATTGTGCCCCTTCCTCCATAACCGAGTCTATGGTGCAATCTTGAGATTATAGTCATTGCTAGTGTGTACCACTATGGGTAACAGTAGCCACCGCATTACCCCGCTGGCTCTACCATCACTGCACTATGCTAACATGAGTGGCTGCAGTGTCCCGAAAAGTGGAACCCTATGGAAAAACCATGAGTCTGCACAGGAGCCCACATGGCAGCCTGCCTCCCATGGCATGAGAGAGCCTACCCACTGGGAAGAAGACACAATTACCCAGAAACCAGTGGGTCTCCTGAGGCTCAGGAGCCTGAGAAAACCCTGCCCCAATG